CCTGGAGAAATAATGACATTTTATTTTGGTAGATTGTTTCATCTATATATGGTGGATATGCATTGGAAAATGGAAGGTCGTCGATTGTATTACTTACGTACTAATCAAAGTAATTTACCGTCAGAGTTAAATTCTGGATTGGCTGGTGTCCAAGTAGGTGTTGATATGAGTAGAGAATCGATTTGCAAGAGAAATATTTTACCTTCCATCCATACAGGCTATCCAAGAGCCGTACATCAAATCCAGAAAGATGCCATAGCTGTTGTTCCAGCGCTAGGAAAGGCATACTTATTTGTAACATTTACTTGCAATCCAAATTGGAAAAAAATTGTTGATTAGCTGTTACCAGGTGAGGTCCCTTCGGGTCAACCCGATTTAATCCACCGAGTTTTTGACATAAACCTAAATAACGTATACATCGATATAAAAGATAGAATGTTATTTGGAAACATTAAGGGCTAAACCCATGTTATTAAATATCACAAACGTGGTCTGACTTACGCCCATGTTGTAATCATCCTTGCTGAGTGTTTTCAGCGTCATACTTCTCGTGATATTGATAAATATATTTCTGCAGAAATTGTATATCATATTCGTTTTCCTAAGGCTTATAAAACTATTATAAAAGATATGATGCATACCCCATGCAGTATCTCTTTAACTGATTGCCAGGGTAAATTAAAAAGTTGTCGGGATAACAAAAACAAATCTTGCAGTAAACACGTTCCAAAAGATATTTATCACTGAAGGGTCATTGATGAAAAGGTGTTGCACAATATAGAAGACGCCCCACGAATGTTTTTGTTTTTTTTTTCCAAATGGGTACAGTGCTGATAATTATTGGGTTGTTCCTCACAACTTATATGTTGCTGTTATGTACAACACACACATAAATATTGAAACTTTGTGCCTGAAATCAGGCCATTCAATATCTGTTCAAGTATATTTACAACCTATTTCATTGGTCACAAATTGCAGTGTTACCTGCCCAAACCACTCCTTTCAAAATTGCAAGCAACACTCCAGCTGTTATTCCACCAGACGACGAACAGGATAAATGAACGAGCTGGTAGAGCGTTCGGTATATATTTACAATAGAAGCATGCAGGCGTAGCACAGGTAAACGTACTCATTCGTGTCAACCTTCAATAAAAAGATTGGCTATTCATTTGCCTAATCGGCAGAAGGTCACCTTTTTCCAGGGCGCAAGTATTGTTGAAATACAACGAGCCATGGAAAAACAGACAACCTTAACTGTTTAGTTTCAGCTAAATCGTGATGATGTTTTTGGAAGGTCTATTCTTTCCAATTATATACCAGTTCAATATGTCCAAGGCGCCAAGACACATTTATGGAAAAGACTACGTAATCAACAGACGTTTCTTCCAATTGGTAGAATGTACTTCATATCCGCTACTGACATTGAAAGGTCCTGTCTGCGCGTACTGATTTTACATGTAAAAGGCGCTACAGGACTTTATCAACTCAAAACCACTGATTCGTATAATAAAGATGGTGTCCGATCGACCGGTAATACCCAGTGGGCAACATTCTGACAAACTGGACAAGCTTTAATTTGTTACATGATGGAAAAGAGTGGTATAGAGCCATGACGAAAGCTTTTATGCCGTGCTCCAGTTCATCACAAATTCGATAATGTTTCTCTGTTCTTCTGACTTTTAACTTTGTTCCTAACTACAAAGACAGTTTGGACAATCACAGAGATAATCTTTCGGCTGATTATCAGTACACTTATTGCCAATGCCTCCGAAACCGTGGTGTTGATTCTGAAGGCTGTGAAATTAATTTAAGTAATCAGGTTAATGACTATATCACAAATCTGATAATCATTGACAATGGAAAGCGATTGCAAAAAAACTACAAGGTTATAGCAAATTTTCAGCAATAACCCCAACCTAATCCATCTACCTACAATGCGTATGTTGCAAGGGAACAAAATGTGAATGGTCCCGAAGTTGGCCAATATGATGTGGATGATTTAGCAATCAATGTTGTCATATATGAAGGTCAACAACATGACAGTTTACATTTGAAGCAACGTGTCATTTATTCGAGATTGTTTCAGCAATCTATAGAAATAGCGATGCTCCATCATAAAGTTCATTCTTTCTTGTTGCCAATCCAGAAAGCACTGGAAAAAACGTTTCTTTACAATGCTTTCTTTCAAAAGTACGCTCTGGTGGGAAGTTGCTTTGTCCTGTGCCTTATATTGTATTGCTGTTACTTTGCTACCTGGTGGTCCAACAAACCCACTCACTTTGCCAAATACCAATTGATATTGACGAATCATCTGTTTGCAACATCAAAGTACAAGATATTGGTGCTAAAACGACAAATGATGCCAAACTAATAATTTGAGACGAGGCTCCTATGATGAACAAGACGATGTTCGAATGACTTAGTCGGTTTTCACAAGAAATGATTGGCAATTGCACCTTTCCTTTGGAGGTAAAGTTGTTGTTTTAGGAGATGAATTCAAACAAAACACAACTAATTGTTCAGTTTGTGTCCCGATCTGATATCATCAATGCGTGTATGACCGATTCGGTCTTGTTCAGAATTTGCCAGGTCTTGTCGTTATTGAGAAATATGCGGCTAACATAAGATCCTATTCTGGATGACGGTACAAAGTTTCACGATTATTTTTTGGGAGTGGGTGAGGGTCGTCAGCAGATAGATAATCAGTATGAGTCAATTCCTGCAACAGTTGTACCATACGCGGAATCAATCAAGGAGATTGTTGATATTGTTTTTGGTGATGCATTAAGTGACGATTATTTGTACCGAAATCGAGACTTCATTTTCAGCAAAGCCATCCTTGCAGCTCACAACAAGACAGTTGATGAAATCAATGATTTGGCAACAGAGACATTACACGATGTAATATCCGATCTCTAAGATACACTAATTTTAATCAATTATAAGATAATCCTTTATTAAATGCTAAACTTACTGTTATATATATATTATATGTTCGTTTTTGTTAAGTCGGTGATTTGTATTTCTTGTTTCGGCAATTCTTATATGTTCTGTATTTACATTAGAGTAGTTGTTATTATAGTGAGATTGTCTTGGGATACATCACCCGGAAAATCTATGGTTTACCTTTAGGACGATTGTATCGAGGAAACCCAAAATTGTGGGTTTGCAAATGTTTCTGTTAAGTCTCTCAATGCAATTAAACCTTTGGGCTTGCCTCCACAAAATTAATGTAATAAAATTTTAGCCAATTTGGAGTATCAGAAACATCAACTTTACCGAGGGTCTTTGTAATGGTTAAGAAATTTCACAAGAGACGTAATCAAACCTGAGATTGCAGTTGGCGATTGAGGAGGTCTCACTGTTTTGATTCCTCGGATCATTTTGATCTCTTCAGAAAAAGCTGATTTGCCAATTACCCTTAGTCGACGTCAATTTCTAGTGCAACCTGCATTTGGAATGACTATAAACAAATCAGAGGGCCAAACACTTTTTTTGCAGCAATTTGTCTGACCAAACCCGTTTTTACGCACGTTCAACTTTACGTTGCTTTATCACGTTTTCGTAACCCTGCTAATCTCAAAGTAGTCTGACTGAAAAAGACGCCATTATCAACACTCACAGATAACGTCGTATATACTAAAGTATTTACTAGACCACGAAATCGAACATACAATATTCATTATCAATAAAATCTATTTCTTTCCCATTTACAAACATTGAGTGGCGTTGGTGGCACGTTCCAAGCGCGAGATCGCCCCAGCAGGAGCGTAGTTAATTTTTACCGAATCGAAGCGAAGGTCAAAAATTTACCGAAGAAGGCTGGGCCAGAGATCTCCTTTCTTATAATTAAGAAATCCAACAAAGAATTTTAAATTTCTGACAAACCGACTTGTAATGTCCTTACCTTCAAACTGAAATATTGATAAGCGGCGTAATACGGGACCGTATAGATCTTACAAAAATACGGTCAACGAAGCTTTTTTTTGTTTATGAAAACGAAAAAAGACCTTTCAGTCTCACAAAAAACAAAAGTTTTCCTTAATCGACTGATCAAACTGGATTGAGAAAATAGAACATAACCATGAAAAGAAATTTCAAACAGAATAATCAGGTACAAGCATAACGACAAATCAGTAGAAAGATCAACAATAACCATAGCCGAACAAGAAAAAATATTTAACGGATCTAATTTACAAAATATCTATATCCGTGCCGCACACAATGATGGAAGGTTTGAAGAATGAGTTTATCCACCTTGATCCTTCTAGGTTGGTATGAAATAGACTTATAATCATGGAATTAGATCTTTAGTTTGAAAAGAGCGCATACGGATTTAGTGGAGAATAATTGTGCTGCAGTACTTAAAAAAAAATTTTCTTGGGTCAAAAATAGCAGATGAAAGATTTGGATTATATGTTGAATTTAAAATCTGTGGAGCAAACAGGATTGTGCATGAATATAGGAAGTGCTCTTTTGCTGTTGCAAATCATGTACTAACACGGTTTTGAGATCCGAAAACAAAAAGTGGAATTTCGCCTGTACAGCTTAATGTTAGTATTTAATCCATTATAAATATGCGAGCTAAGCCCTCAAAAGCGGCAGCTACCCAGAAGAGAGTAAAACCTAATCAGGGTATAATCTATTTTATTGTGGATATCATAGATATAATAAAAAATTTAATTGTCCTATCACATTAAGGAGGATTATAAAATAAAACGTTGATCACCAATCACACGTTACTCCGCTCGTTCTCATCGTACCGTTAAAATCTGTAAACAGGGTGCAACCCAGTGACTAGTAAATATTTATTCTGCAAAAAGTAATGCAATCGCATGGTCCGGGACAATAGAATATTAATAGATCCTGAGTAGATCCTGAGTACAAATATGACTCTTGTCATTTGATGTTCGAATTGTTGATCCCTCTGAGTAATTTTTATTTACTCAGAATGGAAGGGCTACGTTTGAAGATTTTCATTATTTATTATCACCAGATTATTACATCTTGATCCAATAAGGCGTTAAATATTGTCCATAGAAAAAGCCCAGTTTTTTAACTAAATGTCCATACTTTTTTCTCATAGAACATTGTACTTTTTTAATTCATTTATTTATTTCCTTCGTAATAAAGTGGTACAGAAGTTCCGACTGTATTACTTTAGTATTACTTTAATTTTTTTCTTCATGAAAAATAAATTTGAGGATTATGAAAGGAACAGATAGTACTATTACAGACAACTACGTTAGCGTTCTTGCAAATAACTGGTTGTAAACGAACATTATGAGGGATTTAATATTCATTCCATATTTGTGTATAATCAACATTTTCAGACAAATAAGGATATAAGGATCAATATTGTTACCAGGTGTTACTGATGCATTATTCGATAATCAACATACCAGAATTAAATCCAATTGGACAATTTGGCGGGTTGTCATGGTAAGCATAAGGGATGACAGCCTTTAATTGTGCAACAGAACATAATGTACCTGCAACCGATTCCTCCAGAATGACCTGATGCGATTTAAAAGGTTTACTCTCGTTAATTTCAGCGATTATAATTAAAGTAACCTTTTTAATGCGTTTAAAATTTCGTACACTTAACGCACTATCGATCTCAACCAGTATATTACTAATTTGTAAACTTTATATCAGAACCAAATGATTTTTTTGCCGAATAATTCGTTTATTTTCAAAATTTCGAGTAACTTTTTTTTTTCAAGCATGCAATTTTTCTAGAAAAGGGCACCAACAACTTTTGGGAAACGGTATAAGTGGAATATACAACAAAAAAATATAACTATCTCTGGATTAGTTGAAAGCGTAAAAAAAAAAATTCCTGATGGTTCATTTTAAGCAGATTCTCGTTTCATAGTCATTAGGAATTACATTGCCCAATGTCCATTCGGAAAGTTTGACAGAGATAGACATAAGCCCATGTTAAATCGAAGTAATACCATGTTGTTCCCACTATAATCGCAGAAACGTACCATCCTCGAATTCAAAAGGATTGACATTACTCTACTTTAACAATATTGTTAATTATTGGGTAATGTCGGCATTTTTGAGGAGTTGTTTAAACTTCATTAACGATTAGTTAAAAAATTTAATTTTACAAAATGGCTAAAAATAACGAACCCAACTAAGACCTATTTTGCGTCAGTATTTCGAAAGATCGGATAAAACTAATCAAATCAATTGAAAAAATTGGAACCGGACCTCATACTCTTAAATGAAATATGAAAAAAAATGCTTTCCTTTCAACGATGTTTGGAATGCCCATAAAGAGGCTCCGAGGATCAACATATTTTACTCTGACATCTTATAATCAGTGTGTAGGACGCTCCAGTTAAAATAAGGACTTCATCATAATACTAAAACTCTCTATGGGACACTTTAAATACGAAATTAAATTAAAATTTTATTTTTTTGGCTGGGCGTTCCACCTCGGATGAGTAGATGGAAACAGAAAAGCGTTTTCGCTTTTCTGTTACCTTCACCCGAGGGGAAGCCGCAACAAGAAAAGTCAAAGGAGGGACAGGAATACACACAGGTGCCGGAGGAGCACGAGGGCTAACACCCAAAGGGCGAAATCGGCGCCCACGAGAAGGACGTGGCCGTGCCACACAAAGGCGGACACGACGACAAACAACAGGGGGAGAAAACAATTTTTGTTTTTTGACGGTCTTCTCTTGCTCCGAAGAGCGAAGAGAAACCAAAAAGAGCTTTCTTTTTCTCGAGGAAACGAGAAGGGCAGAAGAAAAGAAGGCACTAACAAAGAAGAGCAAAAAAGATTAGAATGGTTTTTTTTGTTAATTTGGAAAATGACAACATTAGCCATTGGTAATGTCTGGAAATGACTAGAGTACTGAATACTTACGGATGAAAAGCAATAGTTTGCATCATTTTTAAGAATAACTATGAAGACAGGAAAGAAAAAAAATAAAAATGTCCTTCCCGATTCCTACAATTTATTCCTCCCCCCCCTGTGAGAACTGATGACGACATTTTTGCGGTATTAAATTTAATATAATACATAAGCCACAATCACAACAGCGGACTCGGTAGTGGAAACCCGTAACATGGTGGATAAAATTCACAATTATCGTTATGTAGTTTTTTAATTATTTATTTTTCCTTTTACAGGCATTGCCATTTAACAGATTGACAATTAACACATCAGATTATGTAAAATAGTAGTCACTACATTGGATGATTCGTTGAAGAGTGTTTAATTACAAGAAAACTTGTCTACGCAAAACAGTGAAAGATACACTAAATTACAAATCAACTAAAGAACCAGGAGGACGATGATCAACCTTGTCAGTATACTTAATGTACGGCCAAAGAACCTTGTCATTACTAGCGGAATCGGAATACCGTACAAGACTCACGACTTGAAGAATGTCTGTAATGGAATTAACAGCGTACTGCTTGTATCTGTCACACCTCGAATTCCGAGAAACTGTCAAAACATTGAGAGCGTCGAACTGTTGATGCTTCATCACCTTCTTCCTTCTGTGTGAAGTAGCAGTGAACCACACCGACAAACTAAAGGGAATTAGATCTAAATTTTATGCTGTAAGTACCGATAACGTCTGTCAAACTTGTTTAGCTTACCTATGACCAGTAATTTTGGGAGCCGTAAATAGGTGATATCATTTGGTCTTGTCGTCCAGCTTTTGAACGTTTTGTCCATAATTAAAGCAAATACAACATAACCGTTCCAAACTATCAGGAGCGGGTCAGGGCAAGAGCAGAACATAATGATTATTATGGTGAGGACACGACAAAAAGAAATTAAATATCTATGAGTATTAAGATATATACAAAAGGAATAAAGGTAAAAAAAGGTTTATACAAAGAAGCAGGAAAATAGACAAGTTCTTGAATACCGAAATAAGATTAAATAAATATGCTGTTACTTATATTAACTGGCTGATCGGGAAAACAAGGGTTCGGGGATCCGATTTACAATGACGGACTATTAGTCATAATGAGTTTAGGTCATCATTGGGTTAGTGGGATTAGATACAGATAATTTCGACGATAGATACAGAGGATAACATTGACTGTTATTATTAATGTTTCAAGCGAGTTATAAGGCAGAGGTACAAAGGAAAAGGATATTACCTGAGTTTTACAAGGACAAGTTATAATGGAGATACATTATTTGGAAAAAAGATGTTAAACAAGATTCAATAGTGATATTAGACAGTGACGTGTGAAATAGGAGACAGAGAACATGGAGCAGGTGGAACAGGGACAATGGGCTTGTTGGGTTTTAATAATCATCTGAGACATTTTGCATGATTATACGAAACCGAGTCCTAAGCTCTTCATGATACAAGTATAACTTGCAATTACAATGCATGATGAGGCCAATTGTTCGATTTCATCCCCAATCTTATGATCATAATAATTAATCAACGCCTCAATCACCTTTGATATGGGGACAAGGAGGCATGTTACTTCCGAATACAATCCAAGAAAAGACCGAGGAACAAACGGACAACAGATTTTAGCACCAGAAGAATTGCGAACGGTAGGTTTCTGGACGATCTATGTATTCCGGCAAACGATTGGACTGCAGACACCTAAGCGCCATTTGTTTTGTAATTAGCCTAGTAACTAAGGACGTTCAAAAAATTTGCCCCTATGAGATGCGTGGAATGGATCAATACGACGGATGCCTAATATAATTGTTATTTGCTTTGAACACTCGTGAATTGATACGGTTTGCGGCAATCTCTTGATTCAAAACCGTAGGCCAACATATACAACATCAAAATATTTGTAGTAAATCCTAATTATTAATAACAAGTCTTTGATTGTCTTGCTACCTTTTCATTCTTGCAATATCCCTACGAGCAATACGGTAGAGTGCATCTGGACTTCAATATGCCAAAAAAAAATTTTAAGCAGAGAGAAACGTTAAAACTGGACCACCACACTTTCCTCATAATTAAGGTCCAATATTTTTGGACATATATCATTTTAATCATGATTAAAATGAGAATATGAACTTTTTATTTTAAAAAAAAAAGTGGGTCCGGGATTTTTACAACTGGATTTTAGGTGTGGGGGGAAATAATTGTCACAAGCAGGTTCAAAATTTTAAATTTTTCTTTTCCGACCAATAGTATTGTCCCGCGTATAGTATTTGCCGCCTTCGGACCATGAAATGCTTACTGCCTGTACTCTCAATTTGAGTACCCGCATGCGTAGTATCGCAGACTATTAAATCAAAGTCTGAGGACATTTACTGTCAACCCTGTAAGACACAAAAAGGATAAAACAAACTTTATGTACTAAGTAGAAACACTTCATATTCAAAAGATATAATTTAGAGTATTTTGAAAATAGATCCAACTAGCTGTTTAATTTAATTTATGTATTTGAAAGTCATATTCATTAGATAAAGTACTCAGTGCCACAACCCGTTATATCAGACTCTGAGATCAAATATGATCAACACTGTAAGGCACCAAAAGGATAAAACAAACTTTATGTACTAAGTAGAAACACTTCATATTCAAAAGATATAATTTAGAGTATTTTGAAAATAGATCCAACTAGCTGTTTAATTTAATTTATGTATTTGAAAGGTCATATTCATTAGATAAAGTACTCAGTGCCACAACCCGTTATATCAGAGTCTGAGATCAAATATGATCAACACTGTAAGGCACCAAAAGGATAAAACAAACTTTATGTACTAAGTAGAAACACTTCATATTCAAAAGATATAATTTAGAGTATTTGGAAAATAGATCCAACTAGCTGTTTAATTTAATTTATGTATTTGAAAGGTCATATTCATTAGATAAAGTACTCAGTGCCATAACCTGCTAATTTTAAACTGAGATCAAATATGGTGAAGTGTAAAACACAAAAAAGATGTTTGAAATCGGATATACATTAAGTAAGAACGTCTACTACATGGAAACTTTGTTTACTTCAGTAATATTAGATGTAACGTTCTTTAAAACTAAAAACGCGTCAAAAGGGTTACTGTTTTTGAGCGTATTACTTCACGGGAGCTTTAAAAATGACAAATAGAATTGTGAATTTAAAACTAAGTTTGGGTTTATTTTTGTACCTTGTAATTATTCTTTTAAAATTACTTTTATAAATTTACATATTTATATCAATATTCATTATGGCTAAATCAAGAAAAAGAATCAACATTGGAAGAAAGGCTAAATTCATTCAAATGGAAAAAATTGCTGCTGCTGAGTACATTGCTAATGAAGCAATTGCCAAAGAGGCCGAAATCGCTGACATGCCTCGACCAGAAGAATTCAACGCAGAAGCTTTCCCCATTTCCTGGAGCAACGCAACCGAAAAAACCGGGGAACAGAAGTTTAAGCGTAAACTTCTCCCTACAAGAGAGACGCTCAGTAGAAAGAGATCTGCTGCAGCCAAGGCAGCTGTAGGCTGTGATTCGATTAATGATTTTTTCCCCGTGGTTCAACAGGTTCCTACACCACCTCAAGTAGAGAAGAAGGAGAAACCCAGAAGACCCGACGAAGCAAGTTTGGTAAAGATTCGCGAGTCTTTGCCCCTTTTGGAATCGAAAATCCGTATCTCTGGTAATACCACCAGCGACCAACACCACAACGGTGTTAAACAATTTCTGAAGTACGTGGTTGTAAAGCATGTTATGTTGCAGCTATTAGACGGTAAAACTTTTGTGGAAGCAACGAAGCTTGCGGTAAACATGCACTGGATCCAAGCTTCGAAATCCTATCGTCATCGTGCTGCCAGAAAGTGGTTTGAAGCCTGGCTAAACACTGGTGACATTCCATGTCATCAGCAAGGAAAACATGCGAAGAGAAAATCAATTCTCAGTGATCCTGATGTGAAGGAAAGATGCATCACCTGGCTCAGGAGTCAAGACCCTGTCCGTAGAAGTATCCCTGCTCTTCGTCAGCATATACGACAAGAAGTGCTCCCTGAGTTACTTGAGTTGGAGAATGATGTCGAGGCCGGTGCCGATGTCATTTCCTCTCAGCCAGAGCATCCATTGTCGAACGTTGCTCTGGCAACCTACCTGAAGGCTTGGGGTTTCGACTATAAAACAGGTAAATACAATATGTAAAAACTTAGCATATATACTAATGCTTTAGCTTGATTATATTTTTGGGCATATGTGTGTAGGAAAGGATCGAACATACTTTGATGGCCATGAGCGGGATGATGTTGTCAGATATCGAATTAAGTGGGCCCAACAAATGATGGAATGGCATAAGCGTATGGAAACCTATCCCTTGGATAATGAGAATGCTGATCCAGTTCAACCTAGCCTAAAGGATAATGAAAAAAGATGGTTTTAGTTACTCACGACGAATCAATCTTTTATTCAAATGATTGTAAAGTCACTCGTTGGTGTGAGAAGAACGAAACCATGATTCTTCCTAAAGGTCAAGGAAGATCTATTATGATCAGTTCATTCATGTGTCCCTGCCACGGAACAATGAGAGGTACCGTCAATGGTGTCAATTTGATATCAAGAGTCATCTTCTTCCCTGGCAACAGTAACGGCGATGGTTATTGGACAAACAGAGATCTGACGTGTCAATTATATGATGTAATTCATCTTTTCAATGAATTACATCCTAATTGTGTTGGTATCTTTGCCTTTGACCAGAGCTCGAACCATAAAGCCTTTGCGGACGATGCTCTTGTTGCCTCGAGGATGACTTCCGGGACTAGCGAAGTAAAGTCTTCTACCCTGTATAGGTTTCGGGATATCACTTATGTAGATAGAAACGGCATCATCAAACCTCAAAGTATGTATACCATGGAATCTATGAACGTGGATGCCGCCATGAAGGAGATAAACAGACGGCGTGCCAAAGGACAGGCGTTCGATACCAATGCACTTGTCGAAAAGTACCAAC